CGAGTCGGATAATCCAACTCGATGAGTTGGGGAGGGTTTTTCCATTTCTGGTTCTGCATGGATTTGGCGAGCTAGCAAGACGACTCGATGGGTCAGTTAGAGTTTTCTTGACAATTGGACACGCACAGACTCGACGAGTTGCATGGAAACTCGGCGAGTCAAATGGAGGTTTTCATGACTTCTCGAGTTCTGGAAGGACTCGACGAGTTAGTGAACTGCACTTGACGAGTCGGGTCAACATGGACTATTGAACTTGACCGTTGACTTTAACATTGACCAAGGTTGACCAGTTTTGAAAAAGTTTTAAAAAGTTTAAATTTGGCATGAATTTTTTGGATGTTATACCATATTGGGTTTTGGCTATCGTTTAAGGATTTGGGCCGTTTGGGATTTTTGGAGCTATTGAATTGGGCCTCAGATTTTGGGACAAGCAAGGAAAAGGGTAAAATAGTCTTTTACCCTAAGTGTTGGACACTTGGACTAGGATTCCAGTTATGGGTTGTGGACCAATTATTAATTGGGTATTGATGATATTTAATATGGATATTTCCCGTATTAACAGTTTGGGATTTTATATGATATTCAGCAGTTTGAGGCGAGTTTCCTCATTGTGCTTGGCGGGTACCAATGCCGGTCCATGGTTTATTATGATTAGGATGGTAGTTTTCTATGTGAATCTTGCATGTATGTTATGTGATGTGTATTGTATTGTATGCTATTTATCTTAGTGATTATTGCATGTGTATTGTATGCACCGACTAATCCCTGCTGTGAACATGAGGCTATGCCTCATGCACTGGAATCACTGCAGGTAAACCTTCATGGCCACAGAGGCTGAGTAGTGCCAGGATATGAACATGGGTCAATAGGTTATCCACCATATCTTCCACATGTATTACTAAGTCACCACAACCCAAGTGTAAGACATTTACATTACAAAATAGAAGATTGAAATATATAACTAAAAGAGAAACTTTATTTCATCATCTAAAACAATAAATATTTTTTGATTGTGTTTCACTTATACCTTTTCCACCCTTAGATCAAATTGTTTACGTCATCTTGACCAATGTTTGGTCAAACACGTTGTCCATCAATGTTCCCGCTTAAACCTTCACCAATTTCTGTTATCCCTAAAATAAAATTCAAATCCTCTCAAAATTTACAGTCAAAACTTATCCACTGACCATCCTATATGTTTGCAAATCAACATGATATATCTTCTTCATTATTCTATTTCTTTCTTAGTATACATCGATGGTATCAAAATTCATTAAGGGCAAAACAATAACCTTGTATTTAATTCTTATTAATATAGTAAATACTTCAAATTTTGAAGATAATAATTGGTCTCATACATGTTAAATTACAATTGCTCGATTTCCAACTGTCTAACTCAATAACTTTATGTAATTGTTCTTAACCTTACATTTTTATATAACGTTATTGATTAGATTTACTATAATTAAGTTTAAATTGTCGAGATTTTTACTTGAAAGTGATGAGCATAAGTTGATGTTTTTATTGAAGTTTGAGGATGATGCAAAACTCAAAATCCCTTAGTGGTAATATCCTACATACTTAATAATTGATTATTTCGACAAAAATACTTTCCATTAACTTTGATAACAAAATTTTAGAATTAAGCATATTTTTATGATTATAAATTTGTTTTCTCTACTCACTTATACTTATCATCCTAAAGATAAGAAAAGATTAACCATGTTTATATTGAAAAGTGCCAGAAATATCTTATTGGTCATATCTTTCTAACATGATCTTCAAATGTTTCTTTGTTTTTTATTCGTTTTTGTGTATTTGATTTGTTTCTTCAAGAAACTAAGTTTTCTATTAATTTTGATAACACATTTGTTGAATCAAGCATACTATTATGATTATAAATTTGTCCATTTTCTATTGCTAAATCAAGTGTAAATAAATATGAACAATCGCTAAATTTCATATTCTATAATATAATTTATGCACTAATTAATCAAATAATAGTATATATCCAAGTGGCTGGGTACCTCCAAGACAATAAACACACCTGTAAATTATATTCAATTTCACAATATTGTAATTTTTTACTGGATTATATGAACAATTACTTCTTTCACTTGATTTAGATCCTTGATTACTCATATAAGGTTGTAATAAAATAAAATTTTGATAAATTGAAAAAATTGTTCAACAAAACCTTAAAATTTTGAAATTTGTTGGAAATTTGGTTATATGCCAGGTTAGGCTTCTTTTTGTGTTGTCATATTTGTTGATTTGACTATGTATGGTTCATTTGAAGTTCCATTTCTCTACAAGAATATTAATGTCCACATCCAAGTTGAAACACTCACAACTGGTAAGCATTCTAAAAGATTTTTTTTCACTTACATTAATCAAAACTATTATTTTAAGTGGTTCGTTCTCATGGATGCCACATCGGTTGTCACTATATAGACCTTCTAGCAGTCTAAAGAAGAATCCTAACAGCTTTATGAAGAATTTTGTTGCGTTTTCAATGAAGTATCACTCTGTCAACATTCTTCTCTATAGTTCTTTCTCTTATTTTCGATATAGATGTATGTCACAACAATAAGACAGAAAGAGGTGTTAGCGACCATTAAAGATGAAAAGGTAATATATAATTTAAGAATAATATATAAAGTGTAAATTTTAGATTTATGATATTTATTTCAATGAAAAATATTTTGTTTGATTGTTAGGTTACATATCTGTTTTTTATATAATTTGATTTTGACAAGTTTGATCTAAATTTGATAATTAAAGCAGGTAGGAAAGATATGTGCTAACGATTTTGAATTTGTATTGCCATATAGAAACCAACCGTAGCCTCACAGACCATTCCCTCATATCTCAGTAGGTCTTAACATTTCCTAAAATTCAGCTACAGGAAGTCATGGATGCACTTCTTAAATCAATCTTCTAAATCGGATTTCATTTGTTAGTTGGATGTAGTGATCAAAATGCAAGATTTGTGAAAGTTCATTATTATTTATTAGTGTTAACCTTTAGCAAATTATGAAACTAATATTATATTTTTTGTTTATAACATGTTTTTTTGTAATTATTTATTTGATCGGAAGATATGTATATGTGAGTGGGTGTAGCCTTAAAAATCATATTTTAATTTTTATAAGAAAAAAATACTTTGAAATCGACCAAATTATAATGTCTGAATTTAATCTTTATGGTTATGACAATTCACTTTATTTGTAATGTTTATCGAATTTCTTTGTAGAATTTAATGTTGTCGGTACATGTAACAACTTATTATTGTTTTTGGTTTTACAGAGCCAATATGAAAATAACCATATGAGACTCCATGGGGGTTGGTACACCGAACAAAATTAATTCATAAAGCTATTGCACAATATGTTTTAATCAAAAAGTCATATTATGTTGTAATAAAACAAAGATCAAATAGATCATTTATGTTAAAAATTACTGTATTAAAAAACAAAATTGCTCTAATATAAATATTAAATATTTTTATCTAATAAGTTTGGTTCAAAAACTCTAAAAATAAATCTAACTAACATTTTTTTTTATTATTAAAATTCAACATAACTTAAAACAACACCACCTATTAATGTGATATGTAGAGTCATTATCTAGTTATTATTATTATCACTAAATGGAATTTATCGCTAAATGGAATTTCGTCAATTATCATTATTTTGCAAGATATTAATAATTATTGTGACATTCCACCAGGCATATACTTTTGTTTCGAAGTTTTGATGTATTTATTTATTTATTTATATTTTTATTAGATATTTGAGAAATAGAAAAAGTTTAAATGATATAAGAAGCTACATAAATATTTGGATTTCTTTTCGTTCCGCCACCCTTGATACGTCTCTTTTAATGCCCATCCCATGCTACTCAATGTCGAGAATCATGGTGGATATATGTTTCTAGTTTTATGAAGTCCAATATTTAAATAATATATATTTTTAATCAATGATAATATACCCGACTAACCGACGTCATAAATATATTACTATTAGTTTTGAATTATACAAAATAATTAAATAAACAATATTATACGCAAATGAAATATAATACAATCGTGTAACACACGAAAATGTTTGAGATCTTTAAGCTTCTACGTTTGATACAACGTTTTATTTGGAACAAAAAGTTTTGTTTGACTCTACAAACTTTTAGTGTTTGATTTAAACAAAATGTTTCAAATCTAAAAATTATCTCATGTAGAGTTCAAACTACATGTTATCAGCTACCAATTAGAATTGTTGAACATGGTTTATATTTTTTTTTCTCACAAAGTTTCAATCCTCCTGGCCGACCACACATTTTATCCTGAACTGATGGATCGAGATTATTGGCATGCATTACCCGGTAAGATAAAGAACGGGTGGTTATCAAATGATATAATAATGAAATTTTAATTATAAAATACTCTCTTATAAAATTATATTGTAATGGTTTATTTTAAATTATAAATTTAATAACAATTTGTAATATGAATACAAATGTTGTTGGATAGATGCACACCTCGTGCACGATGGATGGTAATGTAACATGCTTTGTTTATTTTGAGTTTTGAGTTTTGACAGGTTGTGATTTGATAAGTTATCCGTTCGTGTATCTTGTCCGACCTGTTATTATAAAACCATAGGGGACGATGTTAGATGTTTTTTTTTTTTTTTTTCATACTTATACATTTTTTATAATTATCATTAAATTCTTTATTTTCCTTTTTGTATTTTTTATAACGGTCATTGTCATTGGATAATAATAGACAAGCTATAACTTGACAACATGACTTCAAATATATATGGTAGTTTTGCTACGGAAGATAGGTTTTAGAGGGTTAAATGTGAAAGGAAATTTGAGAAATTTCAAAATGAAGTTGCCACAACTCTAGATGACATCGACTATTGAGGAATGCCTGCTTGTCGTGACGATCTATCGTCATTAATTTTGTTTTGGTTGAGGGGTTGTCTCAACAAACAAACATGACCCTTTGGAGGTTAGTGCTTATTTATTTGAATGTTTTTAGAGCAATTGCTATCGGATCATCATCTGATTATACCTATTGCATCACAAACAACCGTTACGACTTTTCATTATAGAATGACTTGTATTTATAGGATATCTTTTGCAAATCGCTTTAATTATGATAGATTATTGTATCTAACATTTATATGTGTAACGCTTATTTGTAATCTATATTTGGGTTGATTACTTTTTATAGCGTTTATATGTATAACACTCATGAATGATACTAATTTTTATTTTCATTACTTAAATCAAAAGTATACAAAACGATATAATAACATTGAAAATCTATAATATTGTCATCACATTGATTACAAACTTAATTTTCGGACAATATATCAATAGATTATAGTGGATACATTACTTTTTCACGATCAATAAAAAATCTTCTAACTCTAACAACATTTACAAGATGATATCTTTCTCCCTCAAACATATCAATCTCTGCATCTACACCACCGAAACATATCAATCTCCGCACTCTGCCACTTTTAGTTTTTATTATTTATTATGAACTACCTATTCTTTTCTTTCCGTTTACATATTTTCAAAGAACGTCTTCATGTTCATTAAGTATGATGTATCCAACTATTTTCTAATCCTTTTTGTATCCTTATTCAACTTCCATCATTGCTTTGAATATATAATCGAACATCTTAGCTAGTAGCGGTTGATTATGGCCACCATAAAATTAGTTTATATCAAAACAAATATAAAAATATTCTTTTTCACTATGTCAAACATCAACTTCGAATGAACTCATTGTGTAGTGACAAAAAACTTAGGTTTAAAACATTTTTGTTTAACACCAAAAAGCTTGTAATTTATAGATATTAAGCGTGTTAGAAATATGTTAATCTCTAAATGGTGGATGGTTCAAGTCATGTAATGGACCTAAAATATAGATCATGAGTACGTTAAGTGGAGTATGTGCTAGCTGTTAAAAAATATTTTATATAATATTGAAATAAGACGGTAAGTGATAATTAAATATCGTTAATTGAATTCATATGTAGATGACAAATGACTTTTGTGAAATGGTCATTTTTGCTGCGGATAGCTTACTAATTTTAAGCTATTTTTTTACTATTTAAAAAAAAGTGTATAATAAGATTAGAATATTTGACTCTTTTTCTACCGTATATGATCATATGTAGTATGCAACAGTTGAAGAAAAAACACCGAGAGATACCGAAATAGAAAAAAGAATAAAAAAAAAAAACATAAATGATCGAAATAATGGGAGTTTGACGTGAAAGGCCGAGACGGAAGGGGTGCTCGGAGTGTGCTAATAAAAATCAAATCTAACATAAACATCGCCAACTTGGCCGAAGCTTTTCTTGGACTTCCGACTTCCGACTTCCGACACCGACCGAGGAGTCGAAGATTTAGTCCTCACACTCCATTCCATTCCAGCAACTCCTCCTCATATCACCGTTTCCTGTTTCTTCTTTTTGTTTATTGGAAGGATGGGAGGCACTCAGAAGAGCTACACCACTAATCCAAATGATTACAAGCTTTTAGAAGAAGTAGGTTACGGCGCCAGCGCCACCGTATACAGAGCGATCTATCTCCCTACCAATGACGTCATCGCCGTTAAGAGCTTGGATCTCGATCGCATCAACAGCAATCTGGTAATTCCATTGCTCCCTAACTTCTCTTGCTGTATTGTTTCCTTTTCTGATTAGGGGTTGCTGATTCAGCTATCCAGCTACCAAATGAAAAAAAGGGCATTTTTGCTTCTTTTTTATGCAGTTGAAATTGAATTTGTTTCCGATTTTTGGCTTGTTATCCTAGTTAAATGTACAAATAGGGATCGACTTCTTACGAATTTAACATCATCATACATCTACTTGTAATGTTTTTTTTTTTTTTCTTTTTTACAAACTTCAGTGCGATCACCTTGAAAAGCGTTATAATTGACATCGATCTTGGAGTTGAAACTTGGCCCCTTTGACATGAGAAGTCAAACTTCTGGAAGGGGGAAAGCTCTTAATCTTGTGAAAAATCGTACCTTTTTGATTTACTATACCCTGGGTAGGGATCAAAAGGCAGTGTTACGAAGTTCTATCTGTGATCTGTCTATTACATGTCCCCTTCATTTTGTGCAAACTATAGAGATTTTCTTTTGAGTTTATTCATCTACAGGAGCACTAATTGCATAAAAGATATCCCTAACAGAACAAGCTTGATTACAGTATTAGGTTTGAGATCAGTTTGGCTTGTAAACACAACTTTAGCCATGTTCAAGTATGGTGCCAAATTTTAAATTTTTTGATAAGCACTTAATGTGAAGTCAGCATTAGAATTTATGACAGCCCATCCTACATCAATACAAAAATCAAAAGTTTGAGCACCATAGGCTTTAAGCTGCTAGCTACTACTAAATACTAACAACTCCAAAATCCAACCATGATTGTAAGTTGATTTAGAGGTTATTGGACTTGTATGCTTCTCTAGGATTGGGCTTTACAAAATGATGATGTTTTTGTATTGTTGCATTCATAATGCCTTTTCATCGTCTTGAAAAATGTTAAATGCTTAAACCTAAAAAAGAATAAGATCAAGTGAGGTGTTTTTTTTATGGGTAAACGGCTTACTATTCCACTTTTATCATGTAGCAGCTATATTGGTTGTGATTAAACAAACCTAGGTCTTCTAAATTAATGCATTTGTCTTTAAATGACAATAGATATATAAAAGCATGTTGAATTACTCGCCATGCCCATGCTGTTATGGATAATTTATTATGATATTGTTTGGGCATTCCACAAGCTATCTTTTCTATATGGTAGATAGAAAATGATACCTTTGACTTTTGCTACATGAAAACAAACACGATAAAGTCAAAAATACTTCAACAATTAAATGCATGGCTTTTAGATATCATACCTAGACATTTTGGATAAGATGATAAATGCAAACTCATCAAAGTAAGCAGTATTAACTATCTTCAAGTTCTCATCATCAATGACAATTGACATGTTTTTCTTTTGTTTTCCAAACATTTTTACAATTCCCTGGCTGACATCATAAAAACACAAGCTGCAAAGTTGATGATTGATCTTAGGGTTTAATATGGTGATATGATATGATTATGATATGATGATGCATACAGGATGATATTCGAAGGGAAGCACAAACAATGAGTTTGATAGATCACCCAAATGTGATAAGGGCATTTTGTTCATTTGTTGTGAAGCAAAACCTTTGGGTGGTTATGCCATTCATGGCTGAAGGTTCATGTCTACATCTGATGAAAACAGCATATCCAGATGGATTTGAAGAGTCTGCTATTTCTTCTATCCTCAAAGAGACTCTCAAGGCATTGGTCTACTTGCATCACCATGGTCACATCCACCGTGATGTTAAGGTCACTAAAATCTTTCTCTGTATCTGCTATTATTGTTCTTTTATAAATAAATAAATAAATAAATAAATAAATAATATTTGTTATATGTTTGTTTGTTTAAGGCTGGAAATATACTTCTTGACACTAATGGAGTGATAAAGCTTGGGGATTTTGGTGTCTCAGCTTGTATGTTTGATAGAGGTGATAGACAACGTTCCAGAAATACTTTTGTAGGAACTCCTTGCTGGTTCGTAAAAGTCAAACTTCCTATTTTTAGCTGGTCAAACCATTTTTCATCACTTAATATATTATTAATATGAATTAATGCTCTTTACAGGATGGCACCCGAAGTCTTGCAGCCTGGAAGCGGATATGATTTCAAGTCAGTGTTTTTCTTTTTCTTCCTCATTAGGAATTTATATATATTTTTAAATAAATAAAAAAAAAAAAACAATGTCATTTATCTGTGTTGATCATTTACTTAACAGGGCTGACATTTGGTCATTTGGAATTACTGCACTTGAGTTGGCTCATGGTCATGCCCCTTTCTCAAAGTACCCTCCCATGAAGGTTGTTTTATTTTTTATTTTTTTAAAAAAAAATTCTTCACATCTTTAATTCTAGTTTGTTTTGTGTGGCAACAGGTCCTGTTGATGACCATTCAAAATGCGCCACCTGGACTTGATTACGACCGGGATAAACGGTTTTCTAAGGTAAGATTTTCTCTTTGTTGTTTATAGTTATGTTGATGAGTAATAATAAGTTGGATTTGTGAAAAAAAAAACAACAGTCTTTTAAAGAAATGGTGGCAATGTGTTTGGTGAAAGATCAAACAAAAAGGCCAACTGCTGAGAAGCTGTTAAAACATTCTTTTTTTAAGCAAGCTAAAGCTCCAGAACTTTCTGTCAAGAAACTTTTTGGTGACTTGCCACCACTTTGGCATCGTGTCAAAGCCCTCCAGGCATGCATCCACCTTCAATCTTCAATCTCTTATTATAATTTATAAAATTTTATTTTCACATTTATTTATATATATGTATATATATAATTCATAAATATCTATCTGCAGCTAAAAGATGCTGCCCAACTAGCACTTAAAAAGATGCCTTCAGCCGAGCAAGAAGCCATATCACACGTTAGAACCATTATTTATTTATTTATTTTTTTTAAATATAGTTTTTTTTGTCTGTCTAATTATTATTATTTTTTCTTGTTTATGATGATAATAAATAAACAGAGCGAGTATCAGCGAGGTGTTAGTGCTTGGAATTTTGACCTTGAAGAATTAAAATTCAGAGCATCCTTGGTATTCATCTTATCATAGATCTTGCTTCTTTTTTTGTTTTTTTTTTTTTTTTAAATCGACATTCTTTTTTTTTTTGGTAACTTTTTAACCATGGGATTTTGCTTCTTGTATTAAATAATCAACTATAACTGAATTGTTCAATTGTTTGTATTCACCGGAGGTGCAAGATGATGACGAAATTCAAGATATCAGGGACCTTGATGTAAATTCGACTTCATCTGCCAATAATGTAAGAATATATATATATATATATATATATATATTTTAAAATATTATCCAAACTTTGGAATATTAACTTTTCTCTGTTACAGGAAGCATCCAATTCGAAGGCTGCTACTATTGAGAAAAATTCCACAAGCGAGATTGAATCTAGGTCAATATTTATTGTGCAAGTTTTATATTACCAATTATTATTCTTAGTGCTGTTGTTGTTTTTATATTATAGTCTTTAATGTTTTAAGCGTTGTTTTTCCTTCAGTGATGAAGTTGTTGTCCCATCTGAATCCGTAAGCAATAAAGAAAGTAATGTGGGAGAAATTGATAATAATAATAAAGGAAGTATTGTTGTTGAAGAAAAAAGCAGAAAAGAAACAGAGCAACCACAAGCAGATAAAGAAGCAGTAGTAGCACAGGCTAAAAATAGAATTTTAACAACAACAGGAGGAGGAGGAAGAAATCGCCAAACACAGAGTGGACCTCTTGTGGCTGCTGCAGTCTTGAATCATTCAAAGTCTGACAGGACTCGTACTTTAGAAAGGTTTATTTATATCTTTTCTTCTTTCATTATTCATTATATATTATATTTTTCTGATTTCATTGTTGTTGTTTATACTCATAGGTCTGAAACTGAAACCTCACAAGCTGTTGATAAAGTCCATCATCAAGTAAGAAGAGCTCCCAGTTTTAGTGGTCCTTTAAACCTTCCAAACCGAGCTTCTGGAAACAGTTTGTCAGCTCCAATTAAACCATCTGGAGGTTTTTTTTATTCATTTCAACTTCAATGAAACCCCCCCCCCCCCCCCCCCCTTTTTTTTTTTTTCTTTTTCTTTTAATATATATATATATATATATATATATATATATATATATATATATATATATATATTTTTTTTTTTTTCTTAACTTCAACAGGATACAGGGATTCTTTGGATGATAAGTCAAAAGCAAATTTAGTACAAATAAAAGGACGATTTTCTGTGACATCAGAAGACCTAGATCTTGTAAAGGATATTCCATTGTGTACAGTTCCTCGAAGGTCCCCCCAGGTATAATTCCATATTTCTAAATAAGTAATATTTTTTTTTTTTTTTTAAAATTTAATTCCGTTTGTGATTCATTATTATTTAATATATAGGACACATTACTGAGGAAATCTGCGAGTGTAGGAGAGTGGATATTTGATTCGAAACAGGTTTTTTCCTTATTGGCTTATTTTCTGTACTTACATGCATCAATGCAAAATTATACATTTCTGAGGTTTTTATTTTTATTTTTTATTTTTGGCAGCCTACACCTAGGGAGATGAATAGCAGTTCCGTTTCTGTACATAACAATTTGCCTGCATCAGTTCTCATGCCCCACCTTCAAAACCTCTTTCAGCAGACATCACTTCAACAGGTAAACTAAACTAAACTATGCTTACTTTTTAAAAAAAAAATCATTAACCCATTTTAATTTTTAATGGTGTTCTTTCTCCAGGATCTTATCTTGAATCTGTTGAATAGTTTGCAACCAGCTGAGGTAGCAGCAGAAGGTGAGTTAAAATCTCCATTTATTATAATAAAAAAAATCAATTAAAGTATGCTGTTATTTCTTTTGTTTAACTAAACTTATGTTGTCTGGTTGTATTTCAGCTTCTCAAAATGGGAAATTGCCACCGTTGCCTCGAAGCTCTGAGAACAATGGAGCTGTATGTTGATGACTTACTACTTTTTGTTGTTTGATTATATAATCACAGTTTAAGCATTCTCCAAAGGTCCATAAACATAAATTTAATTATTAAATGGTAATTATTTTCAGGTTGAAATTTCTGATAGAGAACGTTTGCTGCTTACCAAGGTTTCTGAGCTACAATCCAGGTTGTTACTTGTCACTCAATATAAACTGGGTTCCATTTTTTTTTTTTTTTTTTATATGTTATGTCTCGGGAAGTATATTTAATTAATTTTTATTTTTGTTATACAGGTTAACAGTCTTGACCGAGGAATTGACTGCCGAAAAGTCAAAATACGTACAGGTGAGTTGACCGGGTTCTTGAAATTTAATTTATATTAAAAATGAATTAATAAGAGAGTTAGTTAACCTTGTTCTGGTTTCAGTTACAACAGCGAGTTGATGCTATTACAAACCGGGAGGATAGCCAGAAAGGTGAAGCTGATGCTTCTTAATATCCCACCTGGAAATTACAACTCATATAATGCTTGCTTGCTGTGTATATTCTGGTAATAAAAAAAAAAATTCTGTTCATTCTATTTTTATTTAGTTTTCATAAACTGAAATGAATACAATTAATTGGAAACAGTGGAGATGGTGATGAAGAACAGTTGGAAGGATGTGTAATAAGTTTTTGAGTAGCAATGATATGATATGATATGATGATTTCTTCTTCCTCAAGTTGAAATGCAAAAAAGCAAAAGCAATCAATCTTGCGAGGGTAGTCAGGAAACCATTTCTTTCATTCATTTTTCCCTGTGTAAAAGACAAACAGAGAAAGAAGCGCATGGATTTCATTCTTGAAGCTCATCCCATTCACCATTCTCATTATATATATTTATTATTATTATTATTATTATTATTATTATTATTATTATTATGTATGTTTCTGTTAGTGTGTCGATGTTGTAGCCGCAAACCCTGTAATTTCTCAACTAATGTTCACATCATCATAAGTTTTGTTGTATTTTGGGATTTTCTGTAAACTCTTATATATAGCACAAATGTGAATATCACAATAAAACGTAAGTAATTTGTGTTTATTATTGCGTTTATCTGCTTTGTCTTTGTTTATGCAATAATAATAATAATGTCTAAAAAGAGTGTGAATTGTTCTTGGCCTCCAGTTTTATGTCCACGCTGACCAACACTATCACTGAATATCTACAATTCTTAGGTCGAGAGTTTCGAGTCTTTTCAAATTTACATCATATTTGAGCCGCTATGTTTGTCATGTATTCCACTGAGAAAAAAATAATAATATACTTAATTAGTCTAAAATTGCAGAAGATTTTTTTGGCAAAAAGTATAATAAGGTGGGACCCATGAAGGTCGTGAATGCTTTTAATAAATAGGTTTTTATAAAGTAGTCATCAAATGTTGTTATCTTGAGGTTGAGAATTTAATGTTTAAGTTATGTAGTGGATATAGATAAAATTAAGGAGCAGTTTAGAAACATATTAGATTTATTTACGGTTCAAAAAATATTATTATTATTATTATTTGTTATTTTATTGTGTTTTAAACTCATTTTGATATAATATATTTTGTTTTTTGTTTTATCTTTTATTAATTAATTAATTATTATTATTATTACTTAAACACTTAACTTGATTTGATGTCTCTTTAACTTTAACTTTATCTTTAATAATAAAGAAATCGATTTGATGTTTGGTTTTATTTTATTGTTAAGCATATATAATACTATCGATCGATTGATCATTTACAACGATTGAATCATATGGCGAATTTTCAAACTGATCATCTATGTTTTTCTTGCATAGTTTTATTATATTAATAGGTTGAGACAATTTTCAAATTGACCACGTATGTATTTTAATTATTAGGTGTTTAGTACTCGTGAAAATCTGAATGAGTGGGTTGACAATGTGGTACGAACTCTCGGATATGTATGTGGGCATTACAAAGAGATACAAAAACGAAAACAAGTGGCTATGTTTCAAAAATCATTATAGTTTGTGATTGGAATGATGTCTATATAGAGGTAAGAATAAATCTAACACAAATACGGATGGACATCATCCATATGATCAAACTCCTAAATTGACAAAAAAAAAAAAGTAGCATTAAGATCATTTATTTAATAGCAAATTACTGAAATTTGATCAAAATTGTACGTTTGATTCCTAATTTTTTTTTTTTGTACTCAAATTGTCCCTATGGTTTAGTAAAAAATGCACGTTTGGTCCTTAACTTTATGTATGTAAGGGATGAAAAACGCAACAAAATCAAACCACAGAGACGATTTGAATGCAAAAAAAGTTAGGGACCAAACATGTAAATTTGACCAAACCATAGGGACGATTTCAATAATTTACTATTTATTTAATAAATTTTAATTTGTTTAATTTATTTAATAATAATAATAAACAAAAAAGGTAAGAAACAACAAAAACACCAAAAAGAAAAAAGAAAAAACAAACAAACAAAAGACATGTGATGAATTTAAAATATTTTTGTATACTTTATATAAAAAATTGTTTGATTACATAACTTGGTAAAATAGAAACAAAACATGGTGATATAAATAAATAGTTCGTATCTAACAAGAATAAAGCCACATGGTTTGGGATAAATATGAAATAAAGGAACACATGAGGGATCGAATATGACCAGTGCTAAAAGCCAAGCCTCGCTCCAACACCACCAACCATCCGGCGACGTTTAGAAGCGCCACTCCTCAACTCCTGAGTCACCGCCGTTTTCTGCTCCTCCAGCCATGAACTCTCTTTCTCTCGCTCCTTTCTCCTACGCCTGCAACTCTTCTACCCTCCCGAAACTCAAACCTCTATACACACTTCATCATCACCCTTACAAAAACGTCAACCAGGTCATCTTTCACTTTTTTCGTAATGAATTTATCGATGTTGATGCATGATTTAATTTCTGAAATCCGTTTGGGTTCTTTTTTATAGAAACGGAGAATCAGAAATGGAAAGTGCAAGGCGGAGTTAATGCACGATGCGCCGTTTGTTGTCGCTATGGGTTCGTGTGTGGTCAACTCGTTGGTGTTTCCTCTTCCCGTAGGTCCCAACGACATTGAAGATGGTGAGTCGGCGATCGATTCAGCTGATGCAAGGTTTGCTGTCATGGGGATCATAAGCTTCATCCCTTACCTCAACTGGATGGTGATCATCCCACCCGGCCTTTCTCTTGATTAAGAGTACATGATCTTCATTGTATTTGTTTTTGATGATTGATTGTTAATTATGGCTTATTGTGTGTAGAGTTGGGTTTTTGCTTGGATGGATACCGGTGATAAACGTTATGCTTTATATGCCATTGTTTACTTGGCTCCTTACTTAAGGTTTTTAAATAAACTTCTCATCTAATCTTTCCATGAAGATATATTTATGATCATCACATATTCGAGGGTGACAGTTGGCTATTGGTTGCGATTGCAGGACGAACTTATCACTGTCGCCTGATGAAAGCTGGGTGCCTATTGCGAGCATTGTTCTATGCATTCTTCACATTCAGGTAAAAGCTAGCTCTATCATAACTGCAACTTCTTCTTCTTCTTCTTCTTCTTCTTCTTCTTCTTCTTCTTTCGATCATACTGATCTGATGGTTATACGATTAACAGTTAGAAGCAATCATCAAGAACGGAGATCTTCAGGGCTTCCAGTTATTTAATTCCACGTCTTCAAAGAAAGATCTTAGAATCTCGGAACAGGTACTCATATAATTTAATATCTTTTCTTTTTCTTTTTCAAATCTTGATGATGGGATTGGGGAGTAAACTTTTTTAATTGGTTAATTAGGGTAGAAGAAAAGATGAACTAAACGGGAAGTTGCTTTCTTCAAATGATGAAATAAGGGATATGATTAGGGGTTGGGGAATTCCTAAAAAGCATGTCCGGAAAGCTGAACATTTGGGTGACAACGGAGAGGAAGGGTAAAACCGTAAAAGCACTATATGGTTATACCTTGAATTGTTTGATTAAGGTATAAATCAATTTGTGTATTTTAAACATGGTAATGTTTTGGGTCATGGAAATAGAAAAGGGAAACAGTTGGGATTGAATGTGCGTTTTGTTACCACATTTGTTTGAAATTGTGTCCACTCACTTCAATCATTGGAATCATTCAAATTGGACAAATAAATAATGTTATGTTATTTTTTATGAATAAATCTTCATATTTACCAACATTTTACATTTTATATCCCATCCTTTATAAGCATCAAGTGAACTACTCCAAATGAAATGATTTGTAGGCGAAAGTTAAAATTTTGAAATGCATATAAAACCAAGATATATTAACGTTGACACAAAGTGAGTATCGTAGACTCTTTAAAATAAAAGCTTCTCTACACGAGACGGCATGTGATATTTGAAAGTACGACATATATCGTTATCCGTCGGACCAATGGGTGAGAATCCCCTTCTCCATCCAAAAGCACCAAAACATCCGATTCCAACACGTACACAACCTCTTCCGATGCACAATTTGGATCTGATTTCAACGCCTAAGCTCTTAATATAATTATGGAGTTATCAACTCCAATCCATAGTTTTCCGAATTGCCTTTATGATCAAACAATCATTAGAGTCACTTATAAATCTAGCAACTCTTCATGTTTTTCTATCCAAACTATTCCCAATGTATCACTATATAAATTAGAATATCATTTACACATCTATACGTTTAAATTCACATGAAAAATCATAATTCAATCATGAAATCCTTAAATCCTTTTTTTAATCTATGATTCTCTCATTCAAGTGAGTTTGTGCATCCATGATGGTTTTATTGCAACAAAACCTCAACAATGATCATAAAATCATTTAGAGAATAACTTAAAATTTTCCTAATTGTAATTTGAGATTTTAGGGTTCATGGCTAGATTTTTACCCGAACAATAAATCCATCATGTGAATGATAACATTGAGCTTAGAGCCATATAAACAACGCAAAGAGGGTTAAAAAAAATAAAACACTAACCATCAAGTGATCATAATATTGACATTGGGTTGTTACCCCAAATACCAAAATCGAATTTAAAGAGTAATTGTGAGAATTAATACCTTGAAATTTGTAGAAAGCTTCTAATTTATCCTCAATTGATTAATACTGGCTTGAATCAAAATCTTAGCCCGATCTTCTCATCAAAATCGCCATAGAGGAGGTTCTTCAAGCTCTCACTGGTTTGGGTGTTTAGAAATGAGGAGGTGATGCATTCTTATTTGTTAATTTTCGATTTCTACACTCAAGATCTCTTACTTTCACTAAATAACCCCGTTTCAGTTACTAACAACTTTTATCTTATAATTTCCACATTCCTTCCCCATCCATGATATGATTTATGGTCTAACCATCACTTAGTGAGTAACCCCTTTGGTGAAACACACTTTCTGTAACACCTTGATGTTCAAGTACTTCTAAATTCATCCTTATAATTCTATTTCATATCAATAGGTCAAGTGGTAGCACTCTTGGGTATAATTGAGGTTCGAACACAACATGTTGGAGGCACCACACAGCGTGTATGGGTATTAAAAGGCATGGGTTTTATTTGGGCAACACGACGTGTTTCCTCTTGGAACACGATGTGTAGACCGCTGAGATGAAACCATAACATTCCAGGTTTTTCTCCCTATTTAAAGTAATATGGAGACTAGGGTTTGTTCACCTTCTGTAATGTTCGGTTCCTGGAGTGTGTTTTTAGAACAATTCATTCATCATTGAAAAGGGACTCGACGAGTTGGAGGCTTCAAACTCATCGAGTAAGAATTATTTTGGGAGGTGTTAGGAAATGATTTTCCCGTGTATTCATTATTATATTCCATCAAATATATATACAAAATAATCAAAGGGCTAAGAGTGAGGGCTAAATATACATGGGCCACACTCCAAAAGGATTACAACATAATATAACAAATATAATAAATATATACGGCTTACATCCCCTCGAAGTCAAAACAGTAGGTCTTGATCGGACGTTGAGACTGGATCTGAAATCAAGAAAAAAAGTTGAGGGAAGCCCTTTGGTGAAAATGTCAACATAGTGGGACGTGGATGGGACATGAAGAACTCGAATCTGACCCATAGCAACTTGGTCACGAAC